AGCTTCTAGGTCTCAACGTGAGAGGGGGTCGAGCACGGAGAATGTTCATCGGGCGGATAGACTCTTAAACGTGTACCGACTCTTTTCGTGGCTAAGGCCAAAAAGCCCGGGGTTCAGAAAAAAAAACTCTGATCACGCTGGTGAGCAAAGGCGCCGTAGCTACCGTGGCATAGGTTTCTTGCAGTCCGACTAGTTTTACTCAGCGTTTGTTTCTGCAAACTTTGCTTCTGGATCTTAATCATGAGAAAGGGTCGGACGTAGAGACTATCTATCGGATAGATATGCTCTAATTAGCCCCCCGAGTGAGGCCCGACCTCCTGCCGTTGCTGGGGTCGAGCGTCACCTAAAGATCGGGGAGTTGATAACGAAACTGATAAGAGAAAGTGTGCGTATATTAAGGGTAAAAGTGACGTAGCTATTCGATGTTCTAGGCATTGATGAAAACTTCGCCGTCGATGGCCTCGAGCTTGTAGGTGCCTGGTCGGAGCACCCCCGCGACGACGTGCGGTCCCTCCCACAGCGGAGAGAACTTGTGGCGGTTCTTGTTGCTCTGGACGAAGCGGAGTAGCAGGTCCCCGACGTTGAAGGCCCAACCCCGCACTCGACGGCCGTGGTACCGGCGCAACGCTTGCTGGTACTTGGCCGAACGAAGGAGGGCGACGTCGCGCACTTCATCTAGCTGGTCTCCTTCATATGCTCTCCCTTGTTGAAGCCCCCAGACAAGAACCGCTTTAAGAGGCCATAGTCCTTGTATAGGTGCTCGATGGGGGAAGCATGATTCGGGCATGGCCCTTCGAGCAGCCTCTCGAAGTGGTTCGAGGTACCCTCGGCGGGCTTCCGGCCTCCCTTATGATCGTCAGTGGCCACGAGCGAGCCCTCACGTTGCTGTTTGTTCTTGTTTGGACGGTTGGAGGCGCCTTCGCCGGCGTCCTCGTCCCGCTTCGCCTTGCCCTTGAGGATGCGTCGGCCAAAGGCCTGAGGTCCAGGCACGCCAGGGCTTGGGCTTCGGTCCTCGTCACTGTTGTAGCATCCGCCATGATGTGGGTGGTAGCCACGGCTAGCCCCCTCCATCGCATCACCGTAGGTACGCCTGCGGGCGTCGAGGGTGTCGCGTCTGTCACGGTGGAGGCCGAGACGCTCATGCACCGGAACCGTGGTGCGCGGTCTGTCGCCTTGCTACTCCTGGTGGACCGACACGTCCTTGTTGGGTTGTTATGAGGGCGCGTTACGCCTACGGGCGTCGAGGGTGTCGCGTGCGTCACGGTAGGGGCCAAGACGCTCATGCACCGGAACCGCGCTACGCGGCCTGCACGGGAGCGCTGTCGGGGCGCTCAGGACGAGGTATTTCAAACAGAGCGGCTCTCCTCCGGCGAGCTGCGTCATGACGTTGGCGAACGAAAGGGTGAGGTGGCGTAGGTCCTCCCAGAACGGTCGGGGTCCTAGGAAGGCGCCGAGCTAGCGCTCTAACCTCCCGTAGTCGAAGCCGGGGGGCTGGTCGCTCCCGGGGGAACGGGCCCTCGGTGCGTGCAGCTGTAGCTCCTCCAACGCCTCGACGATCGCGTCGAGGCCGGCGGAGTGGAGAGGTTGGACGGCGGCGGGAGCCTGCACCAGCTCTCCCTCCATCGTGACGATGAAGTCCAGATCCACGAGGCACACGTGCGCGCCTGGGACCCGGCTGACGTTGCGATTAACCATCCGAGGCCTGGTGTGGATGTCGAGACATGCAAAAGGCCCCTACCTGGCGCGCCAACTGTCGATGTTTCAAGTTGCCACCGACAAGTAAATTTCTAATATTGCGCGTCTGGCTCGGATGGTGTGCCAAGAGGACACGAGGTTTATACTAGTTCGGGCAGAATGTCCCTACGTCCAGTTCGTTGCTGTTGCTCGTGTTACTAGCACTGAAAGTTCATAGTAGGGGTTACAAACGGTCGAGAGAGGGACATGTCCCAAGTCTCTAATGGAAGGAACGAATGGGTGCCGAGAGCTCGATCGCTGCTTGGCTGCGTGTTCGTGGTTTGGTGGATCGATCGGATTCGAGTCCGATGGTTCGATGCGATGTGTTGCAATCGTTGGTTCGATCTCAGTTGAGTTGTCCTCATGGGATGCCCTGCTTTCAAGGAAAAAAGGAGAACGAGAAGAAGTCCTCTAGGATCACCGGGTTCTTCTTTTCCTTCACGCGGGTCCCGCCGACCCTGTAGACGTCAACAGTGATAGTTCCATGTCGTGGCACTATCCATCACTAGCGCCATGCGCAGGCGTCGCCTCTCGGTAGTAGTGCTCCACTCCGCCCTGATGGACGTCGTGGTGAACTGACGCGCCTGTCAGTGCTCGTACGAGGGTTAGGCAGAACAACACTGGTACGCCCGACGCTGCTCCTGATGTGAATCCCTAGGTATGGCCCATCACGGCCATGGGTTACATCGGGGCGTGCTGGTCACCTCCCTGGTGTCAGAGCTTTGACCCAGGACCCATTCGTTAGGACCTGGAGTGGTTGGCGGCGGTATGGGTCTCCGTCGGGAGAGGCGGAGCCCGTGGCCTCGGGGTTGGGCGAGGCGGAGTCCTACCCCAGAGGCCGGGCGAGGCGAAGTGTAGACCCAAGGGTCGGGCGAGGGGGAGCCCGCGGCCTCGGGGTCGGGCGAGACGGAGTCCTCCCCCAGAGGCCGGGCGAGGCGGAGCGTAGACCCAAGGGTCAAGCGAGACAGAGCGCAGAGACAAGGGCTCAAGGGCGGGCGAGTCCTCCCCTGAGGCCGGGCGAGGCGAACCCGGCCCTCGAGGCCAGGCGAGGCGGCCCAGACCTCGAGGTCGGGGCGAGGCGAGCCAGACCCAAGGGCTCCAGGCGTGGCGAGTCCAAACCCAAGGCCTGGGCAAGGCAAAGCCAACCCTTAGAGGTCAGGCGGGCGAGTCCAAACCCTCGGTGTCAGGCGAGACTGAGCCAACCCTTGAGGGTCTCAGGCGAGGCGAGCCCGTGGCCTCGGATTCGTCGCGAGGCGAGCCACCCCCCAGAGGGTCGGCGGAGCGGCCCCCCCCCCAGAGGTCGGGGTGAGAGCGAGCCACCTCGAGGTCTGGGCGGCGGAGCCCGCCCTTAGAAGCCGGGCGACGCGGAGCTTGCGCACCTGGGGGTCGGTTGGAGCTGTAGTCGAGCTCTTGACTGCTCGGATGAATCAATGTTGATGGTTATTAGCTCCTTTTCGGGTACCCTAGTATTGGTCCCCGACAACTTTGAGCCAGCCCCCAGAGGCCGGGCGAGGCGGAGCGAAGACCCAAGGGTCGAGCGAGACGGAGCGCAGACCCAAGGGTTGGGCGAGGCGAGCGCGCGGCCTCGGGGTCGGGCTAGGCGGAGTCCTCCCCCAGAGGCCGGGCGAGGCGAGGTGTAGACCCAAGGATCGGGCGAGGCAGAGTCCTCCCCAAGAGGTCGGCAAGGCGGAACCAGCCCTCAGAGGTCGGGCGAGGCAGAGCCCACAGCCTCAGAGGTCGGGCGAGGCGGAACCAACCCTTCGAGGTCGGGCGAGACGGAGCCCGGAGCCGGCCCTCAGAGGTTGGGCGAGGCGGAGCCCGCGGCCTCGGTGTCGGGCGAGGCGGAGCCAGCCCCCAAAGGTCGAGCGAAGCGAAGCCCACCCCAGAGGCTCAGGCGAGGCGAGCCACCCCTCGAGGGTGGGGTGAGGCGAGCCACTTCAGAGGTCAAGGAGCGAGCCCACCCTTAGAGGTCGGGCGGGCGGGCTGAGCTTCATGCACTGGGGTCGGTTGGAGTTGTAGTCGCACTCTTAACTGCTCGGATGAATCAATGTTGATGGTTATTAGCTCCTCCTCTTCGGGTACCCTAGTATTGGTCCCGACAACTTTGAATCAGGGGCATGTGATGAAAGTTTGTGTTCACTCTGCTACGTCGGCAATTAGATATCCTCTGAAGCAGCGCGTGTGCATTTCATCATCAGGAGTCAAGATGTAAGTTACAGAAATAAGTAAGCTTCACCAGCAAAACAAAAATTCATGACTAAACTTATGATAAATTTGAAATTCACAGGGCGTAATGCAGCTTCTTTGTAATAAATTGGCAAGCAAATTATCTTTGAAGCTGGGTAGTAGCAGAATAAATGTGAACTGGTCAGACATAAAGCACGCTAATTGTATTTAATCTGCTTGTATTATTGATGTTTAAAATATCCCATATATTTCAAAATTGGTAAAGCAGAGAAAAGAACATGATTTTTTATGCACGAGCTATATTAGCACAGAAAATATTATTAATATTTGTGCCTCGAAATAGGTTTACGATGAAAATATACTCATGATTTGCGTTCAAAAAAAAGAAGAAAATATACTTCATGGTTAACTTAATAATACTTATTCAATATCATAAATATTAGTAGTATTTTGTTATAGATTTAGTTAAACCTAAAACTGTTCGACTAATTGAAAACCAAGAATCACATTCTTTTTGGGACCGGAAGTATGAATCGTCAGAACATATGATCTGTCAAATATCGTGTCATGGCAGAAAAGAGCGAAGAAGGAACAGGTACGAGTACAATCCATGTGCTGATAAGGTTTTGGCCAATCCAGTCAGCATCAGAAAAGGGTTGACATGATGACGAACGAGCTATCACATTCCAGGGCACGATCAGGATGGACCAGATGGCATCCACTAAAAAGGCTCTAAATCCATGCGCCTGAACAAATATATTTATTCCAGCTATCAACAAACCACTATGAACAAGTAGCATCCTAATCAGACATCCAATGTGTGGCGACATAAAAACAAAACCCCAGAGTAGTGACTTCTAGATCAACCCAGCCCCCTTTCTTTTTTTTTTCTCAACCAAATCGAATGTAGCAGCTACACCACGTAGCAGTAAGTACTAGCTAGAAGTAATAGCAATCGCCACTTAACTAAGCAGGTGGGGAATTTATACAGATTCGTTACTACCCCACTCTCTCACACACTCACTCTTGCTGTGACCAATTCAATTGAAATTGAATGAATCCCGCTGCCGCCGCGGAGCTCACAGGTTGCATCCGCTGCACTCGCAGGACTTGGGCGTGAAGGAGCAGTACCCGAAGGGGCGGTTGGGGATGTTGCAGTTGATGGAGTAGCAGCAGGGCGCGAGGACGCAGGCGCCGCTGGCCCCGCGGCAGCAGGTGCAGGGCGCGCAGAGCTGGAAGCTGCCCCCGAGCCGGCGCCGCGTGTCGTTGAGGGCGAGCGCCATGGCGCCGAGCTCCGACTCCGCGGGGGCCACCGGCACCATCATCCCCCGCCGCGCCGCCCCCGGTGCCTGCGACTGCGCGCGGCGTGACGCAATGTGAGCCGGAATTGCAGCAGGGGATCGAGGCGGCAAAGTGAGGATAGGGGAGGAGAAGACGCTGGCGGCTGACGTGACGTGACGTACCTGGGACTGGGAGCCGTTGGAGGCCGCCGCGGCCGTGCAGAGGAGCAGGACGAGGAGCGGGACCGGACTGTGCATCGCTGCTTGCTCTAGGGTTTCGGTGGTGGCGGTCCCCTCGGCGCAGCGCGGCGCGGCGCAGGGCAGGGCAGGCGGAGTGGGGATTCGGAGTGTAGTGGAGACTGGAGAGAGGGGAGAGATCGAGAGAGGGAAACTCAGCTGGTAGGCCAAGTGAAGTGAAGATGTAGAAAGTGAGAGGGGCGCTGCCTCTTTTCGGAGAAAGCGAGGGCACGGCTCGGGATGGGAGATTTGGAATTGGAAATCCACCACCGCCCTCTCCCGTGCGCACACGCTGACACGCACCAGCTGGCGTCATGGCCTTGTCGGATCGCGCGTGCGACGGTGTGGTGGCGTTTTTGGGTCAAAATTGGGAGGATGTGGATGTGGATGTGGATGGTAGATGGGTACTTCCTCCATCTCAAAATCTCCATCCGTTTCTAAATTAGAAGTCGTTTTGACTTTTTCGATATATCTATTTTACTATACATTTATATATAATAACATGTCTATATACATGATAAAATGGATGAACCAAAAAAATCAAAGTGACTTATAATTTGGAACGGAGGGAGTATATCAATTCCTAGTGCTAGTCAAACTTCTTTTTAAGTTTAACCATCTCTATAGAAAAGAGTAACAACATCTATGATATAAAATGAGTACCTTATAAAAATGTATTTTATGGTAAATCTAATTATACTAATTTGATACCATAAATCTTAACGTTTTGTTCTAAAAGTTAGGTCGAAGTTTAAAAAGTTTGACTTAAGACAACTCCAGTAATCTATTTATTCAGGAACAGAGGGAGTAGTTGTAGATGGAGGCAGGGCTAGTTGTGGCCGACGCAATGGGCAGGGGCACCCGAGGCCGAGTACTCGAACCATGTGTCGAAGAGCGCCCGATCATCTTTCGATGAGTAAAAAAATTAATCCTTCCATATTGTTAATTCAAGTCGTTTTGGATAGCGACACGGTCTCGAAAGCATAACTTTGACTTCTCAGTTTTATAAAAATATTTATTGAAAAGTGATATATATATATTTTTATGAAAGTATTTTTCAAGACAAATCTATTCATATGGTTTTCGTATTTCCAAACTCAACAACTTAAAAATTATTCATGATTTATATTCTCAATGTTTGACCCAAGACTTGTACAAAACGACTTGAATTACTAGTATCATACATTTTTAGACGAGTCAAAAATTTTAATTTCACACATTCTTTGTATTGACACGAACTCATAATAGCAGCCTACTTAAGTTAAGTCAACTTCATATCTAAATTAATCTTTTAATGCCCTAAAAATTATTATGACCCTTAGAAATTATTTGATTTAAGGTGGACCAAGCCTAATGAAAATCGAACAAAAAGAGTGAAAAGTTAATATTGAAGAGTGAAAAGTTTTCTCTTCATCGCTCACAACCGTCTGGCGGGATCTTGTCTTATGAGCCATCATTTTTCAGCGAAGGGACAATATTTTCCTCTCACAATAAATCAACGAACAATACTTTTCAGCTCTTTTTAGCGAAGCGAACAGGGCATCTCTCGTGCCTATACAAGTTAGAGTAACTGAAAGCATCTAGGTCCCTAGTTGGGTTTCCGTGATTAATGACGATACGGGATTACTATGACTAACGTGTGTTTTACAGAGGCAATTTTAGTTAGGTCATGGTAATGATAATTGATTGGGCAATCATGGTTGTTATGCCCCTGTCGATGAAAATCGTTTCGATATTTAAAGGATGGACGACAAGGTTAATGATAGACTAGTTCTAAGTGTCGTTTGGTGTTGAAGAGACACTTAGAGTAGTTTAGGACTTTGTTTTTCCTTTGGCCGTACTATTAAGAGGGATATGGGCTAGTAGCTTGACCTAGGTGAGTCTAGTGGGTTAGGTGTGGTGCACACTTGTCAAATCTAGCACTAGATAGCTCAGGAGTAGCCCTAAGATCAATTGGAGTAAACTTTATTCACGTAGGATTTCGAGTTGTAAGTGAATGGATGGTCAAATGACTGACCAGATCTGGTTGTGACCGGACACTGGAGGGTAAGTCCGGTCAGTTCATTTGATCAACTGAAGTCGTCTGGTTGCGACCGGACGCTGAGTGAAAAATGATCGGACGCTGGGTGCTTACGTCCGGTCAACTCCAGAGATGTTTTAGAGAGGGATTTTCTTGACCGGACGCTGGCTAGGATCCGATAACTGACTGGACGCTGAACAGCGAAGTGACCGGACTCTGGGTGCCAGCGTCTGGTCAACATCAGTAAGGTTCCAAAGAGTATTTTTCTTGACCGAACGCGTCCGGTCAATGTTGACCGAACGCAGGTTAGAGTCCGGTCAGAACTTAACGGCTCTTTCGGACACAGTGGCGGGGATAACTGACCGGAGCGTCCGATCACCTCGCAGAGTGATGACTCAGCCTTCAAATGTTATGTTTTGAATGAGGGGGTATAAATACTTCTCTCGTCCAAGGGAAGTCTCTTGCCTATTTATTCATCTGAGAAACACTCTTGAGAGTGCAAAGGAGAGAAAGAGTCTAGTGAGGTGATTGAGATTTGAGAATCCAAGATTAAGATCCTCATTAGTGTAAGGAGAGTAGTAAGTGTGCATCCACCCTTCTCATTAGATTTGTCGTGGTCAAGTGAGAGTTTGTGCTTGTTACTCTTGGTGATCGCCATCACCTAGATGGCTCGATGGTGATTGAGAGTTTGGTGATCATCCGACGGAGCTTGTGGATGACCCAACTCAAGTTGTGAGCGGTTGTGGGCGATTCACCGTGACGGAGTATCGAAGAATCAGCTCGTAGAGAGCACTTGATCCTTGCACGGATCAAGGGGGAGCTACACCCTTGCGTGGGTGCTCCAACGAGGACTAGTGGGGAGTGGCGACTCTCCGATACCTCGACAAAACATCGCCGCGTTTCTTTTCCTCTCTTTACTTTAAGCATTTATATTTAAGCAATTTATTTTATGTCTTTACATTCCTAGAATTGCCATGCTAGAGTAGGATTGGAACTTAGGGTGCAAAACTTTTATGCGGTAGAACAATAGAATCACATTCTAGACATAAGGGGTGAAGTGGGCTAAATGTAGGATTTAATTATTGCAAAGAATTTAGAATTAGTCCAATTCACCCTCTCTTGGACATCTTGATCCTTTCAATTACATCTCCAATCATGAGTGCGAAAAATAAAATTAGAGACTATTTAGATACCATGGACTAAACTTTAATCTTAGGTATCCAAACAGATGGACCAAAAGTGACTACGTTTTAGTTTTAACCCGACTAGCAATTGGTCCATCTGTTAGCAAACATGAACTAATATAGATAAAAGGTGCACATGAATATTTATTCAGAAAAGTTACTTTTAGTGCATGTATCTAAATAGCACCGAGCTAAACTTTAGTCATCTAAACTTTAGTCTACTTGAACTTTAGTTCTAGCTAAACTTTAGTCATCTAAACTTTAGTCTACTTGAACTTTAGTTCTAGGTGATCTAAACAGACGCTCAGAATACGAAGTGTTTCCATAGCCCGTCGCTCTCTCCCTGACTCCCATACTCGTACGAGTTAAGTGTTTATACATATTGCTGAGTCGATCTAGAAACGAACTGAAACGCGTGACACGATCATTAATAAAACTTTAAAAGCAACACACGTCTAGACAAATAATATAGTTTGATTTCCATACGAATTGAACGCGTGACGTAATCACTAAATAAGTCCTCAAGCCATAGGTCATTCAGGCGAGTATAAAAAACTAAATTATTAGATGAATCATGAAATATGTTTTTATAACAAACTTACAAGAAGATATAACTGTTGACACTGTTTTATATTAATCTAGTTACTTGAGCCATTGATAAGCGGAATTTGCCTTCTTCTTCTTTTTTTTAACGTGGAGGAGCACGGGAGATCCTGCAGGTTTGACGGCAAATTGCTAGCGCTCCTATCAGTCAGCAGATGGACCAGGAATCGCAGGATCGGACGGGGTCCATCTACCAGTGCTCGTTGACGCGTGTGCCTGATAGGCGAATCTGCCAGGTTACTACCTGTCTACCTGTCGAGATCCCAACCTTGACAGTCTACTGGATTTACTTTAATAGTAAGTTACACCAAGATCCTGCTATTCAGTCGCTCTGCCACCGCCAGTCCAGTACTCCAGTCTCCCGTGCCACGCCTCACTGCACAACCATCCAGAGCGTGGACCAAAGACTAGTGTATTACACATTGTTTTACACAGAAAGGAAAGGAGATCACCCAAGCATTCATCACCCAGCGTCCCAGCTGATGATGATGCGCCTTACTCTCACAATGTATCCCAATGCAAGCCATGGGGTAGATAACATGCTTCATTGTGGACAGATCGTTCAAGCAAAACTGAGGAATTTGCAGCCCAACAAAAGATGGAGGGACTCGATTTGAACTTTGTAATGCATGGTCAAATAACTCCTTTCGAAAACTAACGACGGTTGATAGGCTTCATACAGATACGGATCAGGAGTCAAGAGAGTGAGGGCGCAATAGGCTTCATAGTTCATACAGATCAGAGGAGTCGAGAGTGAGGGCCTGGTCTGGTGGAAGCCACCTGGCCCACATGACATCACAAGAGAAGTCCTTCGCTTTTTTCGTGGCCGGACCAGGTCAGGCACCTTATCGTGTCCTCATTAATTTCAGTTGTTGGACTTGGAGCGGAGGGGTGCATTTCACCTCAGAAACATATGTGCAGACTAATGGTGACAATTTTCTCAAAATAATAATGGCTAAGACGTGACATCCTCGGGTTTCATCTACCCCCTACTGTATACCTTTTGAGGCTTTGACAGCGGTTTTGAGGTTCGAGGCCGAGGATGTAGAGAACGCTCCTGGATCTGCACTGAATCGCTTTTGAGTTTGTCTTGCCAGAAGCCGTAGGCTGGGTGCTGGGATACACTGTTCAAATCAGAAAACCAGTATTCACAGATAAAAGAAATCCCAATATCTGCCTCAACACTAGCTGAATACAGGTTCCAAACAAATTGACGCAATGATATAATTTCAACTGCACACCTGCAGGCTTCAGGTCCTTCAGGGAATTGCCTACCTCATCAACTGTTAGGAACCACAGGTGCAGCAGTGTCAAATAATGCAGGCACCTGAAAACTGGTATTTCTAAAGTTTATTCGGTTCCAAGTGTTATTCCCAAAAATCTGGATTAACAAAAAAAAGGGGCTGTACATCTCTGGTAGCAACTCAATTTACAGAGCTTGATCCCGGCGGGAAGTTAGGAGAAACATTCACAGCACCTGAGGCAATGCCGTGGATTTTATACATCAAAGTAGGTCAAGTGAAAAAAGACGCCTAGGACGTATATCCAAAACCGGATGGGGATCCCAGAAGGCGTCGTGCCATAGGTACATTAGTTGAAGCAGATGCAGGTGAACCAGACGCAGAGAAACCATATGCATAGACTCCCATTGGAGCAGCCATTGTAGGATGGTCAAATTTACAGTTGGCGCCGAACTTGCAGATGCCATAACGAGAATAGAATTTGCACAATTCTTCACCCTAAAAAACCATTGGGCAGGATAATCAAGATGACAGACCATTCAATGAAGCGTAGCAAAAGGACTAGGCGACTAGCTAATGCCTATTCATGAGACAGGCTCCATTTGTAAGAAGACATCAGCCTATGCACGATTGCACGTGCCCCTTCAACAACTTGTATGCTACCGAGTAACTAACTCATACCTGTCCTAGCAAATTTGTAACTTTTAACATTGCTCTAATCAGTGTCCAGGCATCAACAATGACGTCTGTAAGTCATAGTGAGATTTGTGGCTCAGCCCTCGAAAGTTTTCTTATGATAAATCAGAGCTCAACTAACACATGTAAAGAATGCTCTAATAGTGGTATCTTGGATATGCATCTTAGTGTCTTTAGTATGGTGTGGATTGATTGCTAGGAGACTAAATCAGTCATCGTTAGCAGAAATCATGCCACTGAAGTCAATAATCTAGCTGAGAAACAGCATGTATGGAACATCCTTCATTTCCTTTGTCTGACAGGAGAACCTCTTTATAAATAACATAGCACATATTTGATTTTAAAATTTCTAGACTATAGAGCAACCAAGCAGTTGCATTGATGCATATTCTCAATGACGATGTGTTTCCACGAGAAAATTTGCTGAGCCTATCCCAAAAAGAGACGAGGTAGTACAGCCATTACCATATTCATATATAATAATTGATAAAATGTCTAAACAAGGGATCAATACAACAGAAACAATGGAATCCTAAAACAAAATACAACAGAAACAGTGAAGGGTTTAATGACTTACTGGACGTATTGGAAGACCCATTGGACTTAAGACACAATCCGGAGGGGGCAGTGATCTCACCCGGGGATGATGGAACTTGCACACTGCACCAAATTTACAATCTCCTGTCTTCATGTAATATTGGCATTCTGGTTCATCAGGTCTCTCAGGAAATACATTATCTCTCTGCAACGCATATTGAGGCACAGGAAACGAACTGGATCTGTAGGGTGATAGCATTCCCTGATTTCCTGCACTAGATTCACCTTGTTGTGAACTTCCATAAGTTTGTTGAGCCCCAGGTGACTGCAGCTGACCCTGAGAAGATGAAACAGATAGCATTGGGCTCCTTAGAGGCAAGTAAAATCAGCAACAATCAACCCTAAATACGAACTCCAATAATTGATGTAAGAACAGGTTTGACGTTTCAGTGTCACAAATTTCGAAATACATTAGAGAAAATACATTGCCTGATATACAATTTGCAGAAGATCAAATAAGCATGGGGAAAAAAGTTCAAATCAGTACAGACATGCACTAGTTGATCTTCTAGGGAATCTCTCGAGATATTGTTTAATAAAGTTTTGAATGAAAAAAGATAAATGTGATTGCTTCGTAATTGTAAAAATTACACTGCATTACTATACCAAATGAACTTACAGGATATGAATTCCAGCTCGGCACTTGAACAAGGCCCTGAGGTACAATCATTGGTGCATAATTTGAAGGACTTTGCCACCTAGGGCTTGGTATAAAAGAAGCTCGTGGAAAAGCCCAGCTTGGCATAGTTCCAGTATAGGATTGCGGACCAGCGCTTGCAGAGGAATGTACAGAAGTATAAATAGGAGAACCACGTGACGAAGGCACCACATTGAAAAGTTCCGGATGGTGGAATTTACAAGTATTTGCATATTTACATTGTCCTGTTTTTAAATAATATGCGCACTCCTTTTCATTCTACAAAAGTAAAGTAGACTTCTTTTCAGCAAAGCAAAAAGACATGTGCAGAAGAGGACATATAACTGGCAATGAAAGACGAACCGGACGGAGTGGATATCCTAATGTGTTTAGCTGCACCCTCCCTGCAATTCCAGCCTTTTCCCTGGGATGGTGAAATTTGCATGTAGGGCCAAACTTGCATGTTCCGGTCTTCAGATAATACTACAGGAAAAATGTTCAGTAATTTTCAGCTTCAACACTTGCATAGCATGACATATAAGCTAAAGCACTCAATAAATTGTGCAATCAAAGACGTAGATCTGGTGAAATATCAAGACTAATAGAAATAGCCAGATGTTTAACGTAAGAGTACAATTAAAAATAAAACCGTTCTTCAAAAATCTGAAGACAATAGGTCTGAGTTCTTTTCTAGCTGTGTGCATGTGTTCACTAATATGTCTGCTACACCTCTAGAACCTTGCTCTCTTAGCAAAAACTACAAGAATCTGTTAGCTGCATTGATATTCTTGTCTACTTTTTTATTATTCAAATTATAATTGAAAGTGTATGGGACAGATAAGCAATTTCTTAAAACCATCCTACAAGAACCAAAACTCAGTCAGTCAGTGACCATATATAGCACTGTCAACCAAAAAATCATTTCCACAAGTAAAACTTTTATGACTCATGTTTTGAAGGACAGAAGAATCAGTTATCATACTTACCTGACACTCTGGCTGTCCCACTCTCTCAGGATATTCTCCCTTCATTCTGGCAGAGGCAATAGCCTAAAATTAAACAGATTCAACCTAACTTGAGAACAAAAAAATGGGATATGAAGTAAAAAAAAAACAACGGTTAGTAAATAAAGACGTAAATTTGCAAAGAAGCACCTACCAATGTAAAGCATCACTAAAGAACGCAAATGTCACAGCTCACAAGAGCAACTAAAAAGCAAACTATGAGACAAACAGCTGTCTCTGTTCTATTAACTTTGCTAATGTGGAATTGGGCTATTCTAGCAGACTAATCAATAAGTCTGTTATGTGGCTGCTAGGATTGAGAGGGAGAGGCGGCGATGGAGCTACAGTACCCGCGGGCACTGTTCATGCGAGGGAGAGAGGGCAGGGACGGCTGGCTCCCAGGGGAAGCTAGCAACTTAATTGTTGCTTCTTGCTTGACTATAACTGATACAGGGTTCTTTTTTATAGAGATGACTGACTTGACCCCTAAAAAAATATCCTAACCGAATCAATCTAACATATATCTTTCCTAACAAACCAAATCACATATCTCTTTCCTAACAAACCAAACAACCAAACCACATATCTCTTTCCTAACAAACCAAACAATCTAATCTAATCTGTTCCCGCTACAGTACCACGTCGCTACAGTACCACGTGGGCCCCTGGGCCGGCTCTACTTGCCATAACACTACTCCACCCCTCGAAGACAACTCGTCCTCGAGCTGTGGCGATTGCTGGAGCGGAAGACCTTGCGGTCCAGAGAAGATCGCCATGGCAGACCTGCTTCCTCCTCGAGGTGCCAAACTTGGCTGCTCCATCTGATCTGCGTGGAATCGAATCCGCCCGGATCGAATCCATGGAGCGCCTGCACGTGGAGTCGATGGTGCCCTCCACGAGCAGCCACCCCCGCTATGGGTGCAGCCGAGCGGGGGTTGTCTTTGGGCGTACTCAAGCGACCGATGGAGCTTTGAAGGCTCCGCTTCTTGAGCCGGCGGAGAATAAGCGCGATGCAAATGTACCACGGCCCCGCCGAGGGATCGGTCTTTGGGCTCGTGAGAGAGGCAGCGACAAAGGCACCATGTCCGCCAATGTCGGTGCATGGATGATCGCTTTGCATTGGTGACACTAGTGTTTGGCGGGTTGTTGGCGGTTGTGATGAGATCGCCAGAGTTATGGCGGTAAGGGGCCTTCATTGGTGATGTGGCGAACTCAACGGGGGCTGTCTGGGGCGGCCGAGGGCGCCGCGCCCGCGGTTGCCCATCGAGGGCGACGTGGCGGAGAGCTGCCGGCATCAGTGCCGCCGCGGAACGAGGGGCCCGTCCACCCGCCAGAAGACGCCGAGCCGGGCGCCGCCAGCGCCAAGACAAACGCCCGATGGCGGAAGCGGCGGTAGAAGCGGCCGGTATCTTGGGCGCCGTGTAGATGGGTTTCAACGAACCGGCGATCCAAGCCGGAAGCGGTGACGGCGACGGCGGGAACTTGATCTGCTGGATGGGAACGCATACAGGGCGGCGGTGGCACGGTGAAACGAGGTCGTCGCGATCCGTCGTAGGGCATCCCATCTTGATGGGTACGAGATGACCGGTCGCCGTGGTCGCGCGCGAGAAGGCCTCGATGCCCGCCACGGCATGCCGTAATTCCAGGATTGCGCCGCCATCTCGCTCCGGGGTGAGGACGAGGGGCGGAGACGACGGCATGCCGGGCAGAGGGGCGCGATCGCCCCGAGGGGCCGCCAAATACGCCCAATGCCGCGCCACTGATATGTGGCAAGAAGGCCACGACGAAGACGCTGGTGGCAGTGGGTGGACATGATCGAACCACATGATCGAACCAGAGATCTCTGATACCAGATTGTTATGTTGCTGCTAGGATTGAGAGGGAGAGGCGGCGATGGAGCTACAGTACCCGCGGGTACTGTTCACGCGAGGGAGAGAGGGCAGGAACGGCTGGCTCCCAGGGGAAGCCAGCAACTTAATTGTTGCTTCTTGCTTGACTATAACTGATACAGGGTTCTCTTTTATAGAGATGACTGACTTAACCCCTAAGAAAATATCCTAACCGAATCAATCCAACATATATCTTTCCTAACAAACCAAATCACATATCTCTTTCATAACAAACCAAACAACCAAACCACATATCTCTTTCCTAACAAACCAAACAATCTAATCTAATCTGTTTACGCGCTACAGTACCACGTGGGCCCCTGGGCCGGCTCTACTTGCCATAACAAAGTCATTGCCACAAACAGTAGTCATAAACTATGCTTCAAAGGTCATGTGAATGTTTTAAATTAAAAGATTAAACAAACAGACAGCACCAGGACACACGGGACAAATCGCAAAGAATCTGCCAATAATAGAACAGATAGGAGGATGGGGCAAGGGAGAATAATCATACTGATACTCTGAAGGTTTAAAAACAGTTTTTTCTTGATTATTTTTACAAATTGTGTTATGTGCAACAGAGCTCATACTTGCGGGTTAACAGAAACTTCAAACCGCACATAAGAGTGACAAGCACCTTAGACAAAACCTTATCATCAGCCTACTGGAACCAATACTTTGTATGTTTTCCCATGGGCAAAAGGATTAAATAACAATAATGATCATATAGACACAGCTTTGCTTTTCAAACATTGCTTCTTGCATTTTGTTCTGTGATGCAACTGAAACACATCAGAAAGGGAAAAATTTCTAAGTGCCTTTGGTTCAAGGATAACATTTCTTCCAACCGCACATGGTTCATAACAATGCAACAATGCTGCTTATGTATATAACAACAAAGATGCTGGATAGTGCCAAAACATCTGGTGATTCAAAGCAAATATGACACATAATCAGAGTTGGGAAAGGCGGATATTCACCAGATTCCTATCCGGAGGATGATTGAACCTGCAGCTCATGCCAAATCGACACAATCCAGTCCTGAGGTAGTAAGTGCAGTCAGGTTCACCTGGTCGCTCAGGATATGACCCAGGTTGCATAGTGGCACCGCTGTTAATGGCCATCTGTTGCCACATCCCCTCTGCAATCAACATTGCACACATACTTACTTACTAGTGTACTTGGTTATAAACCACTATAAGTTATAACAACCTAAGATCAACAAATGTGCAGTGTGAAATTTTCACTTTAGGTCTCTCTGAGAGATGAAACTAACCACGTTTCACACCAAAGGTATTCGTGCAACAAATAACAAAATCTTCAACACTTTGCAGTGGTTTTAACAAAATCCTAACGAAGCATCCGTTGAATCTAGACTAGACGCTAGAAAGGTAGAAACTTTCTAAACTAATAACCGCCTCAAGGTGTAACCCAATCCAGTGCCACATCAAACCCCCAATTGGCCCAATTTCACGCCGACGCGAAGATCACCGCACCATGATACGGATAACACCAAAGGAATCGGGATTAGCAACCCATGGTTTACAAACAGAGTACTCCAGGCGCAGCCAGTGATTCCACGAAAGAAAAGAAAAAAAAGAACCGTAAAAACAGAGCACCTGAGCTTTAATCTACACGGGGAATTGAGCACCGAAACCCCAATTCCCCCAACCGCGACACGCGCCGGATTGCGAGCGGCGAGAGCAGAGGAAGCCCTAACCTTCATAGAGCGCGTCGGGGTCGGGGGAGGACATGTCGGCGGCGGCCGTGGCGGAGGGCGGGGGAGGCGCGGGTGCGGCTGTGGCGGATACGGTCACCGCCGCGGGAGCGGGTGGTGGTGCCCTTCCGGCGTCGTCCATCGGCGGAGCGCGGCGGCGTGTGCGTCCATCACGCGATCGCGGAGACGGGAGGAGCTGCTGCTACCGCCGCCATCCGGCCCGGTGCTCCGGCGAGAGAAGGGAGCAGCGAGTGATCGGTGTGGAGGAATAGAAAGAAGGAAGAGGAGGGCCCTGCCCCACGTATATTTATTTCTCTCTCCTCCTTTCGACGACGCGGTTTGCTACGTGCACTCGCGCGTTGCGCTGCGGCTGCGGTGCTACGGCAACACGCGCCTCCTCCTCCTCCTCTTGGGGTGCTGCCGTACGGACAATCGCTGAAGTCTTCTGTTCGATTTAAAAATTCGAGCACGGTTAAAAATGCTGGTAGCAGTACAAAACGAGGCAGCAGCGTAGCTAGTACTAGTAGACAAGTAGACTGGACCAAACAAGATAAAATATGGCTATTAAGATGTGTTCACTTGTGTATCGTTCTAATAAGAGAGAAAATTACTATCTTCGTCTTAAAATAAATTGTTTCTTAGAATTATCTTAAGTTAAATTATTTTAAGATTGATTAACTTCTATGAAAACATAACAGCTTCTGTGACACCAAATAAGTATGTTATAAAAAAATAATTTATGATGTATCTACTTATACCAATTTGGTGTCCTAAGTATTAGTGTTTTTCTATAAATTTGACCAAGCTTAAAATAATTTGACTTAAGATACATCTAGAAGTTGATTTAATTTAGGACGGATTTATTACAACACATATAGTGATTGTTTGGATCTCATAATTATAGATTAGTTTTTAGAAAATAGATTTTGCCATCAATTTTAGATAAACCTGTTTTAGGTACATATTTTGTTATTCTTGATTTGTATGTTACTATGTTTGGATGGCAATTACTCTTACAGATTTTTCTTTGCAATCAAATAACAAAGAAGTCATGCAAACTGATCATTCCCATCAAAGCTACTTGGTACAGGAACCAACGGATATGCGAGATTTACGGCCGGAGAAACGCGCTTAGCTTACGCCGATATTTATAAAAATGGCTAGGAATAGATTTTTGTAAATTTGGTATTTTTAGTTTACTAGAAACTATTTTTTTACTTATCTCGAAGTTAGCTAGAGAAAACAAACATGGTTTTCTGGGTTCTGGTTTTCACAAAACTTAAGATTCAACAACCCCATAGACCAGATCAAAAACACCCAAGTAGGCCATTCATTCGTGCCGTCATATATACAATGTATGTACGATGTACCATTGCCAATTTATCATCGATTATAAGTGTTACTAATTTATCGAGAAAAGATAGGAATTAAGCTGGATTTTAGTAAGAATTTCAGCAAATAAAGTAATATTAATATCATTTTATATGTACTAAGAATTTCAGTAAAACACTTATATCATTAAGGCCCCGTTCGCTTCTCTGAAAAAACAAGCCGAAACACTGTTTCCGGCTGATTTATCGTGAGAGAAAAAACATTGTTCCGGCTGAAAAAACAAGCTGAAAAAGACGGATTATAAAAGAAGCGAACGGGGCTAAAAGGGCATGTTGCTACAGGTCTCTATAGGCAAAATGACAAGTGTTACCAACTCACCGTACTATCAAAGAACAAAAGCGTGATAAGTTGTCTTGATCTCAACTCAAGCATCAATACATCATCGATCTTTATAGCATAAGTATGCAAGATGCACACGCGATGTCGCTTACTTGTCTCCTCTTATTGCATACCATCTCAGAAGCAATCTAGCAAGACGGATACTACTACGTAAAACTTACCAACAAGCAACAAAACGGATGAAAAAAGAAATTGAAACGCTCATGTAAGTGGCATCGTGCACAAAGAGCCCATGAGCTTTGACGCGTGCATTTCCGCGGCCTCTCTCTCTCTCTCTCTGGTACGGCGGTGCACCTAACAATTTTGCACGCTCTTTTGTACGCGTCCGGGCGGTGCGGGGCTGCTCGTTTGTCTTTTTTTCTTTTCCATTTTCCACTCTCTTCTCCTGAGATGATGCCCCTGGCTCGTGGCTCCGGCTTTTGTGCTGCGCGCTCGCTCGTCGTCCCCTGCCTGCCCAATCTTTTTGTTCGGGTGTGAATTGTGAGGAGAGGAGCGCAGAGCATGCGACCGGGGTGACCTCAGCCAGTCGTTCCGGCTTCCCCACCGTCCGTCCCCTTGACCCTTTTCGTCTCCCCTCTTCTTCTTTTGGCTTCTGGCTAGCTACCATCGATCATGCGTATCTCCCCCTTTTTTCTACTTTTCTGATTTTCTCCCCTCTCTCGTCTCGTCTCGTCTCGCTCGTTTTCATGGCCGTGGCCACCGCCCACCGACCGCTTGCGGTGCGTGCGATTCGGCGGCTTTGGACACGGAGCCTCTGCCCCGCCAGCCCGGTCCTCTGCCTGCGCCGCTGCGCCTAGGCTACGTGCTTGCGCGGTGGTCCGTGGTCACCGGCTCAACGCTCACCGCACCATGGGCCTGCTTCACGGAATCACGGTCACGGATGCTGTATTGCCGCGGAGCTGACTTGTGGGTGGGATCACAACCGTCAACCGGCAAAAGAGGGTTCTGAGGAATTTTTTGGATGAGCCATTCGGAGTGCCTTTTGGAGAAATTCTGTTTGGGACCATTGCGTCGAGGAAATGCCGTTCTGTTTGGGAAATCATGTCTATGGACAAAAAATGGGGGGTGTGAATCGTCTTTCACGCGTCGGTCTGCGATATGATATGCTCCAGGACCAGGCATCTTGTATTTGTGAAAAAAAAAATGAACCCAGCAGGAACGGGCAAGGTTTGTAAAGGCAAAAATGACCAAACGAGTAGTTGCGCGGTGGGCCGGTGGCTACGCAGAGTTCAGTTCAAGTGCACATGGGCTCATGCAAAGCCCAACAGTCCTACCTGGCCTGAAACTGACATTATTCACCTGAGCGGGCTTGGATGATCCTGATCTGGACCTCATCCCACCCAGTGCCAAGGCCCACGAATCAATGAATGCAACCCATGCCAGGTGAGCCATAGACCACCCATTTTGGCCCAATGTATTATAGGTATACAATATTAAATATGCTGTTTATACCCCCTCAAGAAAACTATTTATACTGTTTTCTTAGTAAACTATAAATTTTGTTCCTCGACGTGTTACAATTAAAAGTAATGCAGTATTAAGATAAATTATGTTAAGTTAATTAGACCACTCAATCTAAAATTTTAGCTATGCCACTTCATACAATTATGCTGCTTACCACGACCATTAGATTATAGTATAGCGACATGTCAACAGGTTTCAATTGCCCTGTTCACTTGAACTACTTCAGCAATACTTTTCAATGTATGAAGAATGTTTTCCTCTCACAACGAATCAGCATAAGTCAAATTTCAACGAAATGAACAAGCCATCTTTAGAGCACTAGCCTACACCATATTGTCTCCATTCTCAACTAGTTGTAGTCCATTTAGTTGGTTGAAATAGCTGTTGATCTATATAAGATCTTGTTTGGATGTTGTTGGATTCACCTCAGTCCATCTACCACTTCCACACCTCACACGTGCGTAAAGACAAAAAGAATTTTACTGAAAATCCTATTATCTGATAGCCCACGTATCCAAACAAACAATTTACGCCTTTTTTAATTATTAGCGGCCCCGTAACTGGCCTAGCAAGTAGCCAGCTAATAATTCGTCCTATGTAATCTAAGCAAGTCCTAAGTCTGTAATCACACCATTACTACTACAGTTGGTGGTTGTACATCGCCGTGTATAGTGTACCGGTTTAATTGCGGCAGCAGATAGCCCGATACGGTGGAGCTCGCTCTCTGTCTGCCACAGTAGCCTCACCCTTCCCCCTCTCTCTCTCTCATCAGGTCTGTGCAGTCTGCAGTGCACTACCGGACACGAGTACAAAACGTGGCAGAATGCCAGATTCGATTCCATGGCATGGCACTGCCGCTTGCCGTGGCCTGCATCCCTTTCCCGTGATCGCGGTTGCGGACGGGCCCCCACCGATCCCCACCATGCGCAGCGGCAGCGCAGCAGCATGACCACCACGGCACCACAAGACGTGTCAGAGAAGAGAATCTCCCGCTCCCGGGCGGCCCTGCCGGAATCAGGATCGTCTAACGTTAACGTTGCCTCCTGAACTTTTTTCTGCAGTTGTGACAAATCCAACCACTCATACGTATCGGACGGTGAGCAGAGTATATGCGCTGACCTCCTCTCCACGCTGGGCTTTGGCCCAACGAGAGCATGACCTGTTTCATTAGAACACAGCCACGACGTTCCTTTTTTTTGGGCGCAAGTAGTCGCTGTTTTGGCGCCGTTCTTCTTGTTTTTGGCGCGAGTGCAGTCGGGCGGACGTATCTGGGTGCCGCTCGGGTTCCATGCGACGGTGATCGACATCGGCTGGTGTTGCTTGGTCTCTCGCTCGGGTTCCATGCGACGATGATCGACATCTCCTGGTGGTGCTCGGTCTCCACCGATATACAGGTCCGAAAAATCTCTGCACTCACGTCCTCTCTTCTGTACCATGGTGCTACTAGCTAATTTGATTCTCGTGTCCTCTCTCATCTGATTGTGCTGAAATGGTAGATTTAGGAAATCGGGGATAGAACTGCATCAAAACAAAATCAACATGTTTAAGATGGAAGGTTGAAGGAAACAAAATCTAAGATCTACGATGGAAGAAAATGGGTATGTAATGCCACTATTGCTCCCTTTTGTCCATCCGATTAGATGTTCAATTCACCTTCACCACCAAATCAAATATTTATTTGAACAACATAAATAATATCCTGATCATCATTATTTGTTTATGGTAGGGAGGGTTTGCTTCCTAGTTTGTTACCTCAAGTTGGCATGGAGTTTGGTACTATAGTTGAGACTTGGATGTTTTGGATTAGCTATGGGGTCAAAAAAAGCTTTGAGGTTAGAAAAAGGTACATAAACAAAAGAAAGTATGGAAAGATTAGTTCCTGCAGATATGTTTGTGCAAATGAGGGTCACAAGTTGCCAGATTAAAGGGATCATCTAATGAAGTGTC